GGTACTGGGAGGGACAGAAACCCCAACAAGCCAGCCCTCATGTTACAGACCTCAGTGACAGAGATCTACGTGCCGCTGCCTCCTGAGTGCTGGGATTAAAGATGTACACCACAACCCCAACCGGCATAAATTTTAATATTTAATATGCTTCTAAAATAATGGCACTTATGGTTCAGCATAGCCTATTTCAGTCATTTATAATCATTTGCCCAAGTTAAGTAGGCCTGTAAAACAATTGTTTACAAAAACTTTTATATACATGGTTCTCAGAAATAAAAATCTCTATTGACCTTGATAGCCTTTGTGATATCAAGAGAGCACGGATTACTGATATTAAGATATCAGACTGCTTCAGTGACATGCCTCTCTCAAGCTAACAGACAAGAAACAAGTACCAAAGCTATCTCATGTCTTTTTCTCTGGTCATGTGCCCCTCAAATCCTGAAAATAAATATAATATAAAATAAAGAAAATAAATAAAGTAAATAAATAAAGCCACTCTGCAAATTCAAAAGTTTGGTAGTGGGTTTACTATTTCTCTAACAAACTATGACACTTTCAAGACATTGGGCAGGTCATACTCACTTTGTATCTCTATACCACAGTACCTGACATTCAACATGCATTTAAGAAATGATTGTAAAATAAATGAAAAAAGTGAGCCAACTCCAAAAAATAAAAAACCTGGTAAGTACATGTAAAATTCTATAACAAAGCTTAAAAGGCCTCACAGACCTGCTGTAACAGTCTCCAAGGTGCCCACAGCTTTCCTTAAAAGCTTCTAAGAGCTCTGCTTTCTCTGCAGGCTCCAGTCGACTGCTCTCCAGCAGGGCAGCTCTCACTAGCAGATGAGCCTCGCTAAGCAAGTGGATACAGCTCTGGGTTTTCACAGTCTTGTAGGTGTTACTGTAGTCTACCTGAAACAAGAAGACAAATAGCTAGTGTTGCTGAAGAAAGAGCACCAATTCCTCACCCTGTCCCCACTCTTAAGAACTTCATTATATTTTGTTAATATAATTAATATATAGGTATATAAACACAAAAAATAACTAAATATGTGGTTGCATATTATCTTTGTTTGTTTTTTATTGCTGTGTTAAAGCACCACCATCCAAGGCAAGTTGGGGAGGAAAGGGTTTATTTATTTGGTTTACCCATCACACAGTTCATCACTAATGAAGGCCAATGAAGACACTTGGAGGCAGAAACTGAAACACAGACCAGCAAGAACACTGCTTAGGCTTAGCCTGTTCTCCTGTCCTTCTCCTCTTTCTATTTTTTAGACTTACTTACTTTTTTAGACTTTTTTAAACTTACTTTTTTAGACTTACTCACTTACATACTTTTATATGTATGAATGTTTGAAAGTTTTGTGTGCATGTATGTCTATGTACTCCATGAATGCCTAGCTGTCAGAAGAGGTGCCACATCAGATCCCCTGGAGCTGGAGTTTTGGATAGTTAGAAGACATAATGCGGAGCTGAGAAGTGAACCCCTAAGTGCTTCTAACCACTGATCACCACTGCAGCCCTCAGGACCCTTCGTCTACTTTTTTACACCATCCTGGGCCACCTGCTCGGGTATGGCACTGCTCCAGGGAACATGGCCCTCCCATATAAATCACGATCAAGAGAATACCCTACAGACTTGCCTACAGACCAGTCTGGCAGAGGAATTTTCTCTAATGTGATTCCTCTTCCCAGATAACTCTAGTTTGTGTCAAGTTGGCAAAAATACCTAATCTGGCCCTTTAATAGGGCCTTAGCAGGGTATTTTCTTTCTCCACAATCTATAGGCCAGTTTAACACAAATATGATTACAAACATTACTTTGTTAGTAGCTTAAAGCACTAAGAAATTCCAAATGATATAATAATATTGATAGTGTAGTTATCAATAATTTGTTCCTAATTTGATAAGGTTTTGAACATATTTGAAATAATTAGCTTTTTCTTGAAAGGTTCGTGACTTAACTTTTTCAAACTAAGGACAAGGTTCCCCTGTTGAGTTTCACCTTGTAACTATCAATGACATCTATTTCCACATTCACAGTGGGCATACAAGAATCATCACTGGCTAACCTTCTTCATCTGCATCATCAGACTTTAGGAGTCACTTTTAGATGAGATCCAACACTTTCCAGGACAAAGCTGATATGTATCAGAAACAAGTCAGCCAATCCTTAACTATAGTACCAAAACTGGCATCA